ATTGGCTTCTTCACCCCCTCCTTCCCTCTGTTCTCCCAGAACCTTGAAACTGCCCTAGTTACAGGGATTTTTACATTCTGTCTTCCTATTTATACTTGGTAGCTCCAAGAGGGTGTGGGTATTCTCTTACACAACTGTGTCTTCAGTGCTTAGTAGGGGATCAATAAATTTTTGTTAAATGACTGGCGAGATGAAGTTACAACCAAAACAGAACACTGTTTATGGTTCATGAAGAGGAAATGTTTGAAATGAATAGTACTACTTGTCATTGTTGATCACCATAGAATTCTTTTCTCCATTTTCAGACTACTAAAAAAAAGTACTACTAAAGCTTGTTTAGTTTTATTTCACTGAAATGATGGTATAGGGATATATTTGTATTTCTGAGCCAGGGCAGACTAAATTAGTCTTTCAGATCAGCAGATCCTCCTAGTGATCCCCTAGGGAATTTTCCTTGGGTCGGTGTGGAGCCAGTGTTTTGTGGTAGATTAAAATGACTTCCAGTGATTGCATCATTCATGATTTTATCAAATTCTTTCTTTTGTTGGGGAACTATTCACATGTTTATCACTCATTGTGAAAAATGATACATTTTGATTTTCCTAGAATTAGCTGTGAGCTACTAGGACTATCCCCTAGTACTAATATGGAAAGATATGGTACGTAAATCTGTGTTTGTGTCATCAAAACCCTTCTTGATTTCATACACCAAACTATTTCTACTTTTGGCCTATGTCTTTTCACGCTGAGGAGGGCTGGTGTTTTTTGATTCTTCATGCAGATAAACTGGTGCCTTGGTCATTCTTCTCATTTGGATTGACTCTAAGTCCAGAATGAATTTTTTGGTGTATGGTGACCCTAAATGTGTGAATTAGGAGAATATTTCCTCAAACTGTCCTTGATTATATTGGCCTTTATTTGGCTTTATTCTGTCTCTATATTTTACTATTTTAATTTTTATTATAGATCTCTATTTCTTGCTAGGAGTATATAATTATATATTGGGTTGCATTATTTTTTAAATTACATATTATAAATTGCCCATTATTTACGGTGTTTTTCATAAGTGGAATATTTTCTTCCATTTTTGTTACATCTCCAACGATTTACCACTGTTAGTAATAATTATTATTTTCTACTATTTATTAATGAAAACATATCTTAGTTGGGCTAATGTGCCTCCTTAAAAACAATAAAAATAAAAAATTCTTGCAGTGTGTCATCGGAGAGATATATAATTATGCATTTTAGCCAAGAATTGCATCAGTAATTTTCAGATTATGTTCTAGGGAAAACCAGGTTTAGAATCAACGAATATTTGTTTAGTGTTTACTCATGTCAAGTGTTTCAGGTAATTTCTCACATAGTTGTCTACCTTTGATCTTAGTAAACTTTCTAAAGTACTAATATTACATTCAGAGAAAAACTGATCTATTAAAAGATTAAAAAAATCTATCATCTTTTAAATTAAACTACTTTTAAAAATAAGTATTGCATTTGTGGGATTGAAGATAAACTGTAGTTAAGTTATTAAGAACAACACTAACAGATACTGGCTTATGTTGTAAAGTAATTACATCATTTTTTAGTGTCAAAATTAAATTAACTGACCATGTTAACAGGCATTAAGAATTATTATGAAAATGACATGTTTTCTATTGATTCAACTTGACATATATGCAAAAAGATCTAAAAGTGTTAGATGCAGGCCCTTATCTTCTAAACATATCTTCTAACCAGATTGTAGCCTAGGGGTGATGTCCCATTGGTCCCTCTGAAAGCGGTCCTTTCTTCCCTGCCTAGGAGGCCATTACTCGAGTCTGTCTTGAGATGTCATGTCTTTTCTATATAGCTTTTCATGATTTCTTTTGTTCTTTTCTGTGTTCTGGTGCTACTCTTTATATGAGACTGTTTCAGTACATATTTTTTGCTATAGTTATTTGCTTCTCAGACTGCATTTGGGTGTCCCTCATTGAATTTCTGTTATTTGTAAATGCATGCAGTGTCCTATAAGAGAACAATTTGTGATCCTCCGGGAAGTCTGCACTAGTTGGTCCAGTTACCTGTTTGATTGTACTTGCTGGTTTATCTGCTACCTAGGAATCACAGCACAAGTCCTGTTTCTGCAAAACAAGGGTATGGACTGGGAATCCCTAAGCTCTCCTGTAACACAATATTGCCATTATATGATTCTAATCCACCACTAGAAATGTATTGTGAAGTAGTTAACATTTAAGGGATGTTTAAAGAATTTTTAATGAGAAGTAGATACTTGTGGTTAGTGTTAACTACTTGATGTGTTATTAACTTTTTCTTCTTTTTTTGCACCAACACCACATTGAAAGAATGTACTTTAAAGAATAAATTGCAATCTGGTGAAATATTTTCATGGTTTAATAAAATTTAGCTTTTAAAAACAAGCATCAGTAATGGTGACTATAGAAACCAAGAACCTTGCATATAAATAGTTATAATAAGAAGGAGAACAACATCAGTATATAGTTTTCATAATTTTTCAGAATATTTTAAATATGATAGCAAGTTCTTATTCCTTCAGTTTCTTTGTAAAGGAGGCAAGACAAGCACTCTAAGATCTACAGGGATTAAGGGCTCATTCATTCCTTAAATGAAAATGTACTGAAATTCATTCCTTAAATGAAAATGTACTGAGAGTTTACACATGGGTAGAACGATTGAAGATACAGTGATGACTGCTTGACTTCAAGAATAGGAGAGACAAATTCATCAACAAATATATTAGTTGATAATATTGTTAATTATGGTAGAAGCATGGAAAATGGTGCACATAACTCTGGAGAGGTGTTTGGTGAGACTCCACAGAAGAGGTGATTTTTAAAGGAATTTCATTAAAGAGTGAGTGGAGATCTGCCAGAAGAAGAGGAGTAGGGTGAGGAGAAGGGTCTTGTAGGAAGAGGGAAGGAAAATATGTAGAAATTCAGAGTTATGATAGAGCCTGGGTATTGGAAGGACAGTGTCCAGTTCAATGTAGCTAGAGTATTACTGTCTGATATAAAGATAAATAAGTAAGTTTAAAATGTCAAATTTCATATTAAAATATAAAACAGGTGAATAATAATATATTTAGCCTAATACAGCTAAAATATTTGTTTTTTTCATACATAAGTGTGAGGTATTCAGTTATAAAGATTAAATCAGGTCTGTACTTTACACTTAGAAAACATCTCAATTTGGGCTAGCCACAGTATCTACAAGCTTCCCTAAGATGTGTGTAATGTTAAAGAGAAAACGAGGAAGAGGAGAAGGGAGAAAGAGAGAATGATAAAAAGAATGGAAACATTTGTAGGGGGCCTGGGTGGCTCAGTTGGTTAAGATCTGGCTCTTGATTTCAGATCAGGTCATGATCTCAGGGTCCTGAAGTCAGTCCTTGTGCTGGGCTCTGTGCTGAGTGTGGAGCCTGCTTAAGATTGTCTTTCTCTTTCTCCTGTCCTGTGTGCTTTCTCTTCCTTCTCCCTCTCAAAACAAAACAAAACAAAATAAAGCAAAACAAAACAAAACTTAAAAAAGAGAATGAAAACATTTGTTTGCTCTAGAGGGGGAAATGGTTGTAGTTGTTGAAGCCATATTTTGAAAGTCCTTGTATACTGGCTGAATTTGGAATTTATCCCATAATATAGTAGCTTATGACTGTGATTCTCAAATTATCTTGGTAAAAGGCCAGTTTTTAAAATTTCGGATTTGTTTCAGTCTGATACTTTTGCAAAATAGAAAAGCAGTGAATTAGAAAAATGAAATAAAAGAGACATAAAGGAGAAGCACCATTTTTTAATCATTAGATTTGACAAATGTACAATTGTTTAGTCAGTTGTTTATAAAGATGTCTAAATTAATGCTATCCAATAGAACTTTTTGTGGTGATGGAAATGTTATGTCTGTGTTTCCCAATATGGTAGCCACTAGCCACATGTGGCTATTAAGCATTCGAAATGGGGATAGCTAAAATAAGCATTTTATTTGGTTTAATTCAATTTAAATTGAAGTAACTACATGAGGCTATTGGCTGCTTTGTTGCAAAGCACTGGATGTGTTTACTCTTAACTTCTGTATCTATTATAGAGTAGTGAAAACCAGCTGTGGACTGGCCTTGGTCCTCAGACCATACTTCAAGTAGCATTGTTTAGAGCATGGACTCCAGAGTGAGAAATCCTTTGTGTGTCTGTGGCAAGTCACTTAATCGCTTGCTACTCCACGATCCTCATTTATAAAACAAAAGTTCGTATTAAGGAGGGGAGAAGTGAGTTGGGGGAAATCAGATGGGGAGATAAGCCATGAGAGACTGTGAACACTGAGAAACAAACTGAGGGTTTTGGAGGGGAGGAGGGTGAGGGTTTGGATGAGCCTCGTGGTGGATATTAAGGAGGGCATGTATTGCATGGAGCACTGGGTGTGGTGCATAAACAATGACTCTTGGAACACTGAAAAAAAGTATTAAAAAAAAAAAAGAAGAAACTATCTCATAGAGTTGTTGTGAGGATTAAATGTGTAGCAGGTGGAATTAAGGAAGGCGCCAAGAAAAGATGACACTTGCTGGGGCCATACTGGATGAGTTCAGTAGGCAGAGAATAAAGAGCCTATCAGGTACAGGGAACTCTAAAATCCATTTGGATCATATTCTGTTAAGAGGGAGGGACAGCAGACAGTATGGGTTTAACCCTGTCACAGCCACCACACTGCTAACATTCTTTCTCTTTCCTAGTTGTCTTATTTTAACCTTTTAGCATACTTTAAATTGGATCACTAAGTAACATGTGATTCTGTGGTTTTAAATAAATACTGCCTATTCAGCCAATCATTGCCTCCTTATGCTTCTTCATTCCTGGGAATTATGGTGCCTGAATTTGATAGTGGAATTTGGGCAGTGGCGGAGAAGGGAAGGGACTCCTGTTTGAAAAGCTGTGCCTGGGGTATGGCATATGGCTGTGAGATTCTTTCCCCCTAAACCATGTTTCTTTCTTATACAGATTATTTTAGGAAGAAAACCACCTGGAAGAATCAATGAAGTTCCTTCTTTTCACATTTGTTGGTGTTGTTCACCTTTTCTCCCTGAACTCTGGGAAAGCGATCTATAAGAATGACATCTCTCGGAGGACTTTTCAAGAAATAAAAGAAGAAATAGCCCGCTATAAAGATGTTGCTAAAGCAATCATCAACCTTGCTGTTTATGGTAAAGCCCAGAACAGATCCTATGAGCGACTGGCACTTCTGGTTGATACTGTTGGACCCCGACCAAGCGGCTCCAAGAGCTTGGAAAAAGCCATCCAAATCATGTACCAGAACCTGCAGGAAGATGGGCTGGAGAATGTCCACTTGGAGCCGGTCAAAATACCTCACTGGGAAAGGGGAGAAGAATCTGCTGTGATGCTGGAGCCAAGGGTTCACAAGATGGCTATTTTGGGTCTTGGCAGCAGCATTGGGACTCCCCCAGAAGGTATCCTTTGTCTTTTCAAGTCAATTTGCTGTGTACATTATAAAACTAGTGTCATGGGACATAGCTGATTACAGTATGCATGATTCATATTATAATTTGGGTGATAAGAAGGACGACAGAATCATTTCTCATTCTGTTGGCTAAATGAGTTCTCTTATATTCCTTTTTCTTCCTACTTCCTTTCCTCCCTTTGTTTTCTTTTTTCTTTCCTCTGTTTTTTTTGAAAGGAAGTTTATTGTGTAGGGTCACTTTTTAAATGAAGATCTGCAACTATTGATCCATGATATTTACCAGCCCTATCACTTAGTAACTTGTAGCTAGTATGACATTAGTTTCATTCTATAGGGCATCGAGATAACAGTGTATAGGATAGAAAAACTATAATTTCCTCCAAGCAGCCTCAGTGTACAGAAGTTTTTAGAATTAATGAAATGGGGAACAGATCTTTACACATGGAATTGATTTGAGTTAATTGTTGTTATAGAAGCAGAGGCCTCAAATGCAAGGAATTATCCAGGGTGAATTTCTACTTTTACTTATCAGCACCCTAGTTCAGCTTCATCAGACAATATAAATGATTAGATCAGGGATATAAAACTAGTCACGAGTGGGCTGCCAATCAGTCTTGAACTATTCATGGACTGTTTTCCTACAGGCTTTTCATGTATTCATGGACTATTTTCCTATGGCAGAGGAACTATTTTATAGAAGCTAGTTGACATTCTCTAAAAAGTTTATAGAAAGTTTTGACCTCTCTAATGCCAAAAGAAAGACCCAATAGAGAAATAGATGGTCAGTTTTTAAAAAAAACATCTTTTTTGAGGTATAATTCACATAATATTCACTCATTTAAAATCTACAGTTCGACGGTTTTTAGTATATTCACAGAATTGTCTTACTACAGCTACTGTCTAATTGTAGAACATTTTCATCACCCTGAAAAGAAACTTCATACTCATTAGCAGTTACTTTGCATCCCTCCCTTACCTCCCTCCTAAGCCCAAGGCAACCACTAATTTTCTTTCTATCTTTATGAATTGCCTATTAAAAATATTTCACATGAACAGAATAATATACTGTGTGTTCTTTTGTGACTGGCTTTTTTCATGTAGTGCAGTGTTTTCCAGGTTTATCCATGTTGTAGTGTCAATCAGTACTTAATTCTTCTTTATTGTTGAATGATATTCCATTTTATGAATATACCACATTTTATCCATTCGTCAGTTGATAGACACTTGTTTTTTCTTATCTTTTGGACATTATGAATAATGCTGCTAAAAACCTTCATGCATAAGTTTTTGTAGGATATCCATTTTTATTTCTCTTGGATATATACCTATAAGCGGAATTGCTGGGTCATATAGTAACTCTACAATTAACTTTTTGAGGAACTGCCATACTCTTTTCAAAAGTGACTATACCAATTTACATTTCCATGAATGTATTCCAGTTTTTACACATACTTCTCAGTGCTTGCTATTGTCTGTCCTTTTGGTTATGGCTACCCTAATGGGTGTGAAGGGATATCTCACTGTGGTTATGATTTCCATTTCCTTAATGATTAATGATGTTGATCATCTTTCCATGTTCTTATTGGCCAGTTGTGTATCTCCTTAGGAGAAATATTTAAGTCCTTTGCCCAATTCTTAATTATGCTGTTATTATTGAGTTGTAAAAAGTCTTTGTGTATTCTGGATACAGGTCACTTATTAGATGTGTGATTTATTAATGTAATGGTAATTGATGGTAATATTGCTGCAGAAAAGGTTTTACTTTTGAGGGGCACCTGGGTAGCTCAGTGGGTTAAAGCCTCTGCCTTTGGCTCAGGTCATGATCTCAGGATCCTGGAATCGAGCCCCGCATCAGGCTTTCTGCTCAGCAGAGAGCCTGCTTCCTCCTTTCTCTCTCTCTGCCTGCCTCTCTGCCTACTTGTGATCTCTGTCTGTCAAGTAAATAAATAAAATCTTTAAAAGAAAAGTTTTTACTTTTGATTTAGCACAACTTACCTAAAATTTTTTGTTGTTGCTGGTGCTTTTTGTGTTATAGCTAAGAAACCTTTGCCTAAACCAAGGTCACAAAGATTTATTCCTATGTTTTCTTCTACGAGTTTTATAATTTTAGCTCTTACAGTTATATCTGTGAATTAATTTTTATATGTGGTCAGGTAGTAGTCCAATCTTCATCCCTTTGCAGGTGGTCATTCAGTTGTCTCAGTGTCATCTATTGAAAAGGCAATCCTTTCTTCATTGAATTGGGTGTATTACATTAATTGACTTTCAGACGTTAAACCAACTTTGCATTCCTGGGTTAAATTCCACTTGGTTATAACGTATAATCTTTTTTATATATTACTGAATTCATTTTGCCAGTATTATGTTGAGTAGTTTTACATCTATACTCGTAAGGGATATTGGTCTGTACTTTTATTTAGTGTGTGTGTGATGTCTTCATCTGGTTTGGTATCAAGGTTAATTCTATACTCAAATAATTGGTTGGAAAGTACTACCTGGTCTTCTATTCTTTGGAGGAATTTGTGAGGGATTGGTATTAATTCTTTAAGTTTTTGGTAGAATTCAAAAGCCATCTGGTCCTGGGATTTTCTTTGTGGGAAGATTGTTAATTATTAACTTAATATCTTTCCTTGTTATAAATCTATTCATAATCTATTCTCAAGTCAGTTTTAGTAGTTTGTGTCTAAGAATTTATTTATTTTGCCTAAATTGTATAGTTTGTTGGCATATGGCTTTTTACAGTATTTCCTCATAAGTATTTTTATTTTTGTGAGGATAAGGATCCAAATTACTCTTTGGTGTCACTTGCTTTCAGCCTGAAGAATTCCCTTCAGTTTTTTTGTTGTTGTTGTTTTTGTTTTTGCTTTTTTCCCCAAAGCAAGTCTGTTAACAGAAAATTCTCTACCCTTTTATCCATTCTTATTTATTTATTTAATTTTCATTTTAGAAGCACAGTTCTACTGGATGTAAGATTCTTGGTTAACAGTTTTTTACTTTCAGCACTTTGAATTTGTCATCCATTATCCTTTGGTCTTTGCTATTTCTGATGAGAAGTCACTTGTTAATATTATTGGGATTCCTTGTATGTGAGTCATTTTGCTTTTACTGATTTCATTTGTGGTTTTCATTGTTTTGATTATGATGTATCTAGGTGTCAATCTCCTTGCTTTTTTCTTGCTTGGAGGTTATTGAGCTTCATGGATGTGTCAGTGTTTTTTATCAATTTGGGAAGTTTTCAGCTATTATTTCTATGAAGATTTTTCTACCTATTTTTGCTCTTCTGGTCCTTCCACTGTGAGTATGTGGGTACAGTTAATGGTGTCCCATATTATTGTGAGGTTCTGCTCATTTTTCTTCCCCCCCTTTTCCCTCTATATTCTTTAGGTTATATAACCTGTATCAATCTAGTATCAAGTTCACTGATTAATTATTTTGTTAAATACACTGTTGAACCCTTTACTGAATTTTTCTTTTCAGTTATAATTTTCAGCTCCAGAATTTTTCCTATAATTTTTATCTCTTTATTGATATTCTTTTTTATTATATTATGTTATGTAGTGTTCCAAGATTCATTGTTTATGTATAGCACCCAGTGCTATTGATATTCTTTATTTGCTAAGACATTGTCATCATTCTTTTCTTTAATTCTTTAAGTATGCTTTCCTTTAGTTCCTTGAACATATTTATAAAAGCTGCTTTGGAGTTTTTTTCTTATATATCCTACAACTGGACCTCCTCAAAGGCAGTTTCTATGGCCTGCTTTTTATCCTATGTATCAGTCACACATTACTATTTTTTTTCATGTCTCATCACTTTTTTTGTTGTTGTTAAAAACTGAACATTTAAAATAATATATTCTGGCAACTCTCAGTACTGATTTTCCCTTTCTCTCTCTTGCCCACTGAAGGTTGGTGGTGTTTTTGTTGTTTGCCCTTTATTTGTTTAATGATTTGGTTGTACTAACTCTGTGAAGTCTGTTTCTCTTCCAGTGTACATATTCTGATGTCCCACTTATAGTGCTTTTTTTTTTCCTCCTTTTTTAACTTTTAGTCTGGCTCACAAGGAGTCAGCCCTGGATCCCCATAAACCAATTATTGGTCAAAGGTTGTGCACAGATGTCATTAGTCAGTTATATTTTCCCCCTTTACTGTTGGATGTACATGTGACTTGGGGGCTGTTATTAAAACTTAAGGAGTTTATGTTTTTGCCTCAAGTTCAGCTACAGCCTAATAGCTGGGAGGTTCTCTCTACCATCAACCTTGAGAGGATACAGACTTGGGCATGCACATCCTCTTCCAAGTTGCTAGGATCCAGGTGATTTTATTATTATCTTGCTTAACAAGATTTTCCTCTGTATCAGAATAGTGTATTTTTCAGGTTGTGTTTGGTCAGAGTGTGCGTAAGCCTTTTATGCCAGTGAAACCTCTGCCTTTTGTTGATGAATCTGTCTGCAGCTTGGAAAAGGTTTTCAGTCTGCCCCATGTCCTATTTTGATTATTCCTGAATAGGAACATAGGCATAGCTTTTCCAATCACCAGGGTTTACTGTCATCCCAAGAGAGCTTTTCTTGGTTGTTTCTTTTCTTGTTTCTTTCTGTTAAATTTTGGATTGCTTGGTACTTAGCAGTATCTTGAAGCTTCTGGCACTCTTTTAATTGTTTTCTACCAAGCTCTCCATTGTTTTCAACAACATCCTTATGCATGGAATTCTCTATGTTCTGCTCCAAATACAGTCACTATCCTGGGTAAGAACTGCAAAACTCTTCTTTTTCTTTGCTTGCCTGATAGGAGAACCTCACTGCTTCCTAGGAACTAGGTACAGTGATAATGGCCTTTTTCTCCCAGAGTGATATCCTTAACAGGTGCTAGAAGGGGAGGGTGGTAGCTCCTGGTCTTCTCTGCTTGCCTCTCCCAGCGTGGGACCTCTGCTTATGAGTAAGCTGAGACAGAGATGATCAGGATCCAGGTATTATTGGTGCCTATACTTAGG